TTAACAATGTCCTTTGCAAGGAATGTGTCTTAGTAAAAATATAATTTTTGTCTGAAATGTAAAAACATCACCGCAGGATAGTGTTTAAGTTATATTGGTTTAACGAAGCACACCTTTAAAAATCGCTGGTATAAACATAAAAACTTCTTTCAATACAAAAGTAAAGCTAATGCCACAGAACTTTCTAAATATATCTGGGAAATGAAAAAAAAGGGATTTTCAAATCCTATTTTTATGTGGAAAATTATTGATAGAGTGGAACCTTTTAAACCTGGAAGAAAGTCATGAAACCTTTGTTTAATCAAAAAAATATCATATCATTATTTTTACTAATTTGGTTGCAGTTTTAGTTTTGCTGTAGTTCTTGCTGGTAAACTAAATTTTCTGACTCTTGATGTTCTGTCTCAGACTTGGATTCAGATGTTGCCGTTACTATTGTTGAAGTAGGCTTCAAGGACATTTTTTTTTTTTGAATGGATAGTTTTTGAAATAGCAGTCTTCCCAGTTTTGTACTCGACCTTTCCTTCGCTTTTAATCTAAAGATGATACAATATTTTGTCCTCACTGCAGAGCCATTCACTATCTTTGTTGTATTTTCTTTGTCTTACACATTTATCTTACATCATTTATGTCATAATGCTACAATAATGTCTGCAATTATTCTTTATATACCATTTTAAAAATTTCGTGTTGTGGGTGACCTTTTTTAGTTATTTAAAGTTTATTAGAATAAAACCCATTTTCATTACTTTAAAAATTCAGCAATTGATGACACAGGAAATACATTATTTAACAAAAAGTTTAAAAGTCATAACATATAATTCTAATAAAATTGAAAAAAAAACAAGTTTTATACAATGAATTTAAATTAATTTAAAAATAAATAAAAAATAAGATTCAGCAACATTTTTATTAATATGAATCGTAATAACTCTTTCGATTCTACCAAGTTGGCAAACAATTGTAATAAAGTTTTCTCATATTTTTTTCATATTTCATGTATTGGATTATGCGCAACCCGTCACTAAACAATTAAAACAAAAATTTGCAGGAATATTGTGAAAAAATTGATTGTGAAAAATGTATAAAACCAATTACAAAAAAAAATATATATGTTTGCATCACATTGAAATAATTTGTTTAAAAAATAGTTACACAATCTTATTATAATCTTAATTAATTCTTAATTGACTGAAAAGTCCTAATTTCAATTGACTTAAAAGTCCTAATTTCATAATCTATATGTAATATGTATCACTTTGAAGAAAAAATTAAAATCTTTTAATTATGTCTGCAGGAGAAAATTGCATTTAAAGTTTCCGCCTAAATACACCAAATATCTTTATTATCAAAAAGTGCTTGCACAGGCAAAAGTTCAAAAAAACACCTTTTTTTTTGCCTGAAGTTTTACAAAAATCACAAACTAATATCCCTTAGATTCAAAATTATGTTTTAATGAAGAATATTTGTATAAACATTCCAATAGTAGTATATCAATAGTATATCATTTTCTTTTGATTTTTTTAGTAGGATAAAAAATAAAAAGATTTTGATATTAATTTTTTATTCTTAAGCATGGCATTAATTAAAAAAACTTTTTTCATCAATTCAGTGGTTTGCTCACTGAAAACTCTGAGCCCAGTTATATTTTTTTCAGCAAATTCCTTTATGTGATGAATAATTCCATGTGCCTTAAGGCACATGGAATTACTCCCAAGGCCTTGGGAGTAACTGAAATTTCAAGAGCTAGGTAAGAATGCTTGAATTCTGAAATATTTTGACAGAATAATGCCTCCAAGATCTTTCCAAAATAAGCTTTTTTAACCGTTTGAAGCTTTCTGTAGCAATCAACAAAAGGCATTGCTTGCAATGCAAAATGCTTTTGGGAAAGGCTCTGAAGAATGTCAACATTGTTCAACAGTTTGTTGCATTCATTTCAATTGAACTGTCCCCCATGATATGCTTGCATTTGAAGGTGCAAGAGATTTGGCCATTCTTGCACTTGATTTTCAAGGAGTTGCTTTAAAATATGTTTGAAGTTTTCAAGAAAAAGTGGGTGTTCCATTGGAGAAATTACATTAAGAATAAGCTCAGGTTGCCTGTTGGGGTTAATTAATGGAGGATGTACAAAATTTGCATAATTCTTAGCCGATTGAAGTTTTTCACCTGAAGAGAGGAATCCAGCATACTGTTACATAAATAACTAAATGCTCTTGATTGGCCAGAGTTTGTAAGGTTATTAGACTCAACATCACACCAGCAACATGGGTATTAGCTAGAGTGAGACTGGATACCATAAGATACATCTTCAATTTGTATGAGGCTTAATAGTATTCTAAGGTTTTCATGTTTCAGGAATACCTTCTGCTGCAGCAACAATCCGCTGTTTTTTTACACCACCATCCTGGACAGAAGAAGTTGATTGGAGACATGATGATCTTTGAGTATAGCCTTGCTTGGAATATGTGTCAATTACGCGCAGGGTAGTGTTCAAAAATTAACCAATGCCATTAATTCCAAGTTTAATTAAATGATGTGATGTAATTCCTCTTACTGATAGAATATGGTTGATTAAGGCATTCAAGTTTTTGTAGTGAACAACTTTTCGAATATACATAGACTGCAAGCACACACACACACCCATACTAACAGCACATATACTGATTAAATCAGCTGCTATTTATTCAGCACACTTATGGTCTTCTACAGCAAATTTCTGTACATTTTTTAGCCTTGTACCTATAGTACAAAAGTGTGGATGTCCTTTTCGAGTACTGACAAACAAATGTTGCATCTTTTTTCAGCTGTGATGATGAAAGGTTTGGGACTGAAAGCTTTGATACGGTCAGTTTCAGGGTAGACTTTTGTTTTTGATTTAATATATCAAACTCAATTGTGGAAAACTTTTTTTGAGCTTTAATTTGGCCATCCTACAAATTATACACTGGCAAGTACCAGAATACCTTGTAGATAGCTTAATGATAATCAAATTGAAATTATACAAGTCTGGTATCTGTCCAAATAAATTGGGATTTCTGTTTTTAACAGAACTGCTAATTTAATTGTTTACATTATTTCAGCAGCAAAAATTTGGTGCCAGCATATTTCAATATTATTGCCTTTAAAATTGAATTTTTAATAAAGAAGGAAAAAATAGTAAGCAATAAGTTAATACAATGTTATTTAGAGATATTTGCAACATTTAAAACAAAGCAAAAGGGCATTTTAGTGACTTTTAGTAGTGGAAATGCATTTTAAAAATTAAGTTTCTTAAGGCAAAATAGGGAAAAACTTTAACTGCAGTTTTCTCCTGCAGAAATAATTGAAGGATTTTAATTTTTCTTTCAAAGTGATCACCATAATCTATAGAATCACTCCTCCAAGAAATGTTTTTCGTCATTTCCAAAGAGGTTAGGACCCTTTTTTGGACAACTGTGGGTTGTTGCCATATACCAAACCCTCATTTGATGTAGCTGCAATTCTTTGCAGCAGCAAGCTATAAGATAGTTGATGTATGAACTGAAGCCCTTTGCAGCAGGCTATTTTAGTGTGACATCAGAGATGTTATCTAAACAAGCATTCAATCTTATCTATATATATATAAATATATATATATATATATATATATATATATATATATATATATATATATATATATATATATATATATATATGTATATATATATATATATATATATATATATATATGTATATATATATATATATATTTATATATTTATAAAAAACAGTGAAAACTTTTTCACCGTGTCAAAATTTAATTCAATTTAACACACCACTAAGATGTTCAGAATGCTTTTGATGACAAAAATCAGCGCTTAAAATTAGTGAAATAGGTGGGAGTATTATCTTGCCACACCACTCTCCTTTGTAAACACAACGCTCACATATAAATAACATGACAAGTTAAAACAAACTTGGCGAAGGTGTGCTGCAAACCTCACACTTCCATTGATGCCCTCAAGCGATCACTTTTCAGAGAATGGGATGCTTTATCCATGGATACCGTGCATAAATCAATCGAGGAATGGGGTCCAAGACTAGAGGCATGCATACGGGCAAAAGGGGGTTATTTCGAGGACTCTCTTTATTAATGTGTACTTTAGCATTTTAACAAAAACATAACATGCATATAATATATATATATTACATTTGTTCTTGCATTAAAAACATGTTCTATTAAATTTTTTTACTGAATTAAAATTTCGCACTTCAATTGGTACCACTAGGTATATATATATAAATATATGTATATATATATATATATATATATATATATATATATATATATATATATATATATATATATATATATATATATATATATATATATATATATATATATATATATATATATATATATATATATATATATATATATATATATGTATATATATATATATATATATATGTATATATATATATATATATTTTATATGTATGTATATATATATATATATATATATATATATATATATATATATATATATATATATATATATATATACATACATATATATGTGTATATATATATATTATATATATATATATATATATATATTTATATATATATATATATATATATATATATATATATATATATATATATATATATATACATATATATGTGTATATATATATATAATATATATATATATATATATATATATATATATATATATACATATATATATATATATAAAATGCTTAAGTTATATTGAATTATAATAATTTTTTTTTTAGGATTATATTTTATTTAACATTTGCAAACTTTTTAATTTTTTCTGTTTAATGAAGTATTTTATTGTGTCTTACAATTCATTTTGAGGAGTTAATATGTAAATATTAGAAATAATTGAAATTGTTTAAAAATTAGAAATATTAAAATTGTTTAGAAATTTGTTTGAAAATTGTTTGAAAATTAGAAATATTAGAAATTGCTAAACAATTAATGAAATATTCAATTTTGATTCTTATCTCAGAAATGGATAAAAAAAAGCACGAATTTAAAATTTTGGTTATTGGAGATGCAGGATGTGGTAAAACAAGCATCATCAGAAGATATGTAAACAATAATTTTTTTCCAGATTACGGACCAACTGTATCTTTTCTTATATTAAATTAAAATTTTCTTATATTAAATATTATATTAAATAAAATTAATAATAATCATTGAAATGAGTTTGAATTTAAGTTTTAAAAAACAAAAATGTTTAAAAAAAAAGACATTAGTTAGCAATCTTCCAACCTTTTTTTTTTATTAACCTTGCAATTTAATTTTTTTAAAAACTATTGAAATTTAAAATCTAAAAAAATGTATGTAATTTTTTTTTCAAAAAGCAAATTAAAAAACATAAAGGTTATTTATTTTATTATTTTATTATTATTTAACTGTGTAAAAGTATCAATATCTGCACAGCAACCTAGTTTAACAACAAATCTTATTTAACAAGTTTTGTGTGTAGAAGTTTAGGGTTAAAAGAGTTGCAAAAAATAATAATAATATGTATCCTACTCGACTGTAGTGGACTCTCTGGAGCCTTGGAGGTCCCCGCCAATTTCTTATTGTTTACCTTTTTTTTTTTGTCTGTTAAGGTACCATTAATTTGTAAATTATGTAGTGATTTTCTTAATATTTGGCTCTAACTATATATATAATAGTTGACAACTGAAAATTTGGACTAGATTTGAAAAGGCATAACTTTCTTATTATATAAAGTACAATAAAAAGCAAAAATATTTTGGAATGTATTTTTGTTCTAGTTCAAAAATATATATTATAAATTTTTTTCAATTGAGTTATTTTTTCTGCTGTTATACACTAAAATGTATCATCCACAGAATCTTTATGACATTTTTTTTTTTTTTAGTACATTATAACTGTTTTTAAATTGAGAAATGAATAAATTGGGCTAAAATAAATTGAACTTTTTAATGCTTTTGTTTAAATAGATTACTTGGTTGAAGCAAGTCCGCTATCCACAAAGTACAGTAGCGTGCAAAAGTAACCGGACAAGCACATAACTTTTGAATGAAAATTCCAACTTCTTTCAAATTTTCACTGGAATGTCAAAAAACTGATAACAATTCTAAAAATAAATGAAATACTAATATAATATTAAAAGTTTATTTTATTGAAATATGCGTGTGAAAAGTATCCGGGCAGAAAAAAATACTTGAATTAGTTTTTTTTTAAAAGCAGTTTTTAAAAACAATTAAAAATGTTGTAATTTGAAGTAAATTTCTTTAATACTTTGTCGGGAAACCCTTGGCATTGATTACTGCTTGACAGCGGCAAGACATTGAGTGCACCAGCTTCACAATCACATTATTGTCAATTTTTTCCCATGCTTGTTTCAGATTTTTAAATAAATCATGTTTATTTGTGGGTTTACGACCTGAAATTTGTCAATCAAGGTGTTCCCATAGGATTAAAGTCAGGACTTTGCGAAGGCCATTTCATTAATCAAATTTTTTTGATCTTGAAAAAGTCTATCACAAGGGTTGAAGTGTGCTTTGGGTCATTGTCCTGCTGAAATATCCATCCTCAAGGCATTTTGTCTTTAGCATGTGGTAGCATAACATCCTTAATAATATCTGTACGTATTTTTGTCCATTATGGCATCAATCAAATGGATAGAATTGACACAATCTCTATTGAAGCAACCCCAGACCATAACGTTTCCACCCCCGAGTTTTACTGTTGGTTGCTGGTATTTAGGATTGTTTCTATGGCCTTTTGGTCACATCTAATACCATCAGATCCAAATAACATAACCTTAGATTCATCACTAAAAAGTACTTTCAGCCATTGTTCTCTTAACCAATTCAAATGTTCCTTAGCAAATCTCAAGCGTGCTTTTCGATTCTTCATGAAAATAAAAGGTTTCTTTGCAGGACGTCTTCCAAATAGATTTGCAGATTTCAAGCGATGCTTAGTTGTGTCAACACTACATTTTACATTATAAAATTCTTTCATTTCAGCATTTAACAAGACAGCATTTTTGCATGGAATATTTTTTGCGGCACAAAATTTCATCTTGTCTTTCAGATGTAATTCGAGGCTTTCCTGACTTTGGAGAGATTCTATTGTTATTTTTTTTCCTTATATCTTTGATATATATATCTGCTACTGTTGATTTTCCTATATCAAACTGATCCGCTATGTCTCTTGTAGTTCTGCCTCGTTCAATTGCACGCAATACTGCTTCTTTGACAGCTAAACTTGTATATTTTTACTTTGTCATTTTTAGAATTTATTCATAACAATCTTCTTTTTAATTAAAAATACTTTATGCTTTGTTTACCGTTTTTAAACATTAAATAAAAGCCAACAAAAGTATTGCAATTTTGTTATTTTAGTTCTGCCCGGATACTTTTGCACACGCATATTTCAATAAAATGAACTTTTAAGATTATATTGCTTAGATTTAGTAAAAATTTATTTGTTTTTAGAATTGGTATCAATTTTTTGACATTCCAGTGAAAATTTGAAAGAAATTGGACTTTTTATTCAAAAGTTATCTTAAGTTATGCGCTTGTCCAGTTACTTTTGCACGCTACTGTTGATCTACCTATCTTGCAATGTTCTACAGTGTAGTTTTAACAAATGCAGAGCTTGCAATGTTCTACAATCAAAGGGAAGTATCGACGCCTGGGATGAAACATGTCGATCTTTTCTTGAATTGCTTGGATGGACTTTCAGTACAATTGGATGATATTGTCTCGTTGTACAGCAAGACTGCCAGAGCGATTGAACAATGTGAGCGAGCGACCGTTCTTTTTATTGTTCTGTGTATACGTTCAACTATACCATTACCTTGAGCTCGATGTGCTGCTCGATATTCCAAATTAACATGCCATTCTTCAGCAAAACTTGTTAACGTGTAAGACCAAAATTCCTTGTCCATTAGAAGACATACTGGCGGACCAAATAAAGAGAATATTTCTTCGAGTCTACCAACAACTTCAGCAGCTGCTTTAGTTGCAAGTTTCCGCCATATTGTATACCGTGATGGACCACAGTCAATCATTGATAAGTACAGTTCAGCATCTACATGCGTTACGTCAATGGCAACCCGATTCCAATTTTTTTCTACGCTTAGTTGTCCATTCTTCCACTTTACGGAGTAAGGATCAATGGAGTTACACTGGTTACAATTCGCAATTACTGCTGAAACCTCCTTACGTGATACATTCTGATTATTTCGCAAGCAAAGTTGTAATGTTCGATCAACACCAAAATGACCAATTGAATGAATTTTCCATATGTCTTTTTGTTCAAGTAATCCAGCTGCACACACTGTTCTGCACCATTTTTGAGGGATTCGTGAGAGTCGATCAGCCAAATTTATCTCAGATGGAATCCATTGTACTGCGATCTGAATATCTTTGCCACTTCCTTAATAGTATTCAATTGTCTTTGTACTAACAATTGAGAAATTCCCCGAGTTTTTACGCGATATTCTTCCTTCAAAACTGCGTTTAACTATCCTACGGTGCTCTTGCTATCACTGTATACTGTGATAGCAAGAGCTATCACAGTATACAGTGATAGCTCTACTACACTAATGAGCAGAACTACCCCAAGTCCTATAGATGATGCATCACAATAAAGCTCAGCTTTTCCATTAACTGGTACATTATTGTGTGGTCATTATTGTTTTTCTTTTGGATTTGGGTACGTCCATTGCAGTTATGTATGTTCGTAGTTGGCGGACGAACCGCTGATGGTTGCCATCGAATACCGGTGGCATAATGGCCGAAATAGCTTGTTTTATCGTCGCGTCCATTTAATTTAATAA